ACACTATTAAAGTGGATCGTGAGTAAAAATAATTAGAGGTAAGTTTGGAAGTCACTTCTAAGCCTGCCTGCTTTACTGACAAACAGTGGCTAATATGAAGCAGATGCTGACATGGGCGATTTGTAAGCAGGAAGAGGGAAAACATGCAGGAAGAATTGCAGTTCTAATCCAGTGACAAACAGCTGAGGGGGGAAAACACAGGACTACAGCTTTGACCTAGTTCCCAACTTATTGTTGAGGATGTATTGCCCAGCAGTCAAAAGTGAAACATTTAAAAAGAATTAAAAGTGAATTGCTTTGAGAAAGTTTGCAGATAAAATGTCAGAGAGATGTATAATGATTGAATAATGTAATACATTTAATGAAAGAAAAAGAAAAGCATCTGAAGGTTCAAGCATCATAACCAAAACTACACAATACAAGGCTGAACCTCTCGGGGATATTAAAGCCAACCTCACTGGGGAAGTTACCATAGAGACACGTTAAAGTCTCTGCGGGTACATTATTAGTTTTTATTTAGAGTCGGGTAAAGCGGTTTGGAAATGCTGCAATTAGACGTTTAATTTGAAGACGTGAGCGCAGCAGCAGCAGCAGCTCTCCTGTGCAATTTAATTACGTTTTTTTGTGTGTGTGCCGAGCAAAGCAGGCTACACTCTCGCATTCGGAGCAAGATTAAAAGTCTACCAGATATTTTGGTTTGTAGAGGGAGTGAGATCAGTCGAAGTTGTAAACAGAGCATTTCTCTTCTCTCTCTCTGTGTGTGTGTGTATGTGTGTTTGAGACGGCTGCGATAAGAGAATCGGAGAATCAGAGTCTACCTGGGATGTGTCCAGGAAAACGCTCTTTCTGAACTTCCCCCGCCGTATCTCCATTTCAAGGGCAGAGCCGCGAGCAACGGTGGCTCTCGCTGTTTGATTTCGGCAAAACATCGTTTCTGCTTTCTGGCAACTTCAGTCAGGGCAAGCCCCGTGTGGAGCGTTTTAGTTCAACTTGAATGGAGCGCAAAGCGTAAGAAGCCGCTTCGAAAACTGCCGAACAACCAAAGCGCACAAGAACCAGGTTGGCATAAAAAACAAAAAAGCCCACAAAAATTTAAGCAACCACCCCAAAACACCGGCGCTCCTTCTGATGTGAGAGGCTGAAGCAGGTCTTCTGGCAGGAAAAGAGCGATTGAAGGGCCTTTCCTTGTCAGCAGTTTCCCAGTTTTCACAGCACTGTCCCGAGTGCGTCCAGCAGTGACACAGTGACACCCCATGTGGTACAGCTGACTGAGACCTAACTTTGCCCTGCTCTGCATCCAGAGACCTCTACTGGTGATGAATGGCAGAGACTCACTATTGCACTTCGAAAACCCTGTTGCAGGCCCACTTTTTTTCTTTTTCCTTTCTTTTTTCTTTTTCACTGAAGCGATTACTTGGAAACTTTTTCACAACACAAACTATTTAAGCATTAAGGTGTAGTATGCACCATGAAATAAATTACATATAAGCAAATAAATAAATAAGAAGGGAAAAAAGTCCAATTAGCCTTTATTTTGAGAGCCTTGTCTGCTTTTCCAGTGTTTCCTAGGCATTGTTGTCAAAGTGTAACACATTGCTATTCTTAATCCCATTTCCATATATATTTTAATAAGCTAAAGTTTCTCAGTTGTATTAATTGCTCGTGTTCACATCACTGGGATGACAATGAAAATCGGTTTTATCGGCAGCTTTAGCTGCCAGCTGAAGGCTTTCGTAGCCACTCATAAAAGGAGGCTATAAGGATCTTTTTAAACATAATGTTTATAACAGTCATTATGGGCTCCTCTGGAATTCTCTTTTCCCTAATATCAATAATGTAGCCACTTTACGGGGCTGTAAAGATAGGGGTATGGACTTTACTTTCATGGTAAGACGTTTTATTTATGAGCATCTGCAACAGAGCATGACGACCCAGCAAGAACGTGAATCAGAATTTGTGACTGTGCTGGAGCTTCTGGGTCAGAAGGTAATCGAGGCTCTTTCTCGTTGACACCGAGGTCACGTCCACGAAAAGAGACAGAGGCCTTCATCCAGTTCAAAAGCATAAGAAAATAAATCAGATACGCATGCCTTGAAGTTACTGTATGAACCGGTTGCCTTTGTTGCAGGTCATCAGCACAAATGTCTGATACTTTGCACGTCTTGTCTGAATGCTTCAAATTCAAAAAACCCTTTTCTAGATCTGCTTTCTTTGATAAATTGAGCAATTCACTTGTGATATTTCAACTATTCAAGGCAAAAGAGAAGTCTGGGCTTTGTCAGTTATCCATCCATTTACTGCAATCCCATATTTCAAATACTCCTTTATGCAAAAAAGACACACAAAAGTTAAAAAGCCTAGGCTGGAAATCAGTTCAGCAAAATAAAGTCTTAGACAGGAATCAGTGTGAGTCAATGCTGGCTGTAATGATCTCATTATTTATTTTAAGTACTTTCATACATAATATGTAATTACCTTGGTATCATATATTGCTGTTTTTTAAAATTATTATTTGTTTTGTTGACTTCTGTCTGAATCATAAACAGCTGTCTGTCTGCCAATATTTAAATATTAATTTTGTGATTGTTTGCTGGCACTTCTTTGTATGTAAATATGTAAATAGCGCTGCTTTTCAAATTCTCTGTCACAGCCACTTTACTCAGGTTGGTACGCAGCCCTCACCGACACTTTAAATCTGTGATTTAGCACATAGAGCTGAGTTTTACCAGTTCTGCTTAATAGTGCAAATTTATATTTAACTGTGTCAACAAACATTTTGTTGCGTTTTGTGTTAATGGTGTTTGTGCCACTATTTTCAAGATGTAATGTTGACTGCAGTGAATGTTTGGCGCTCTATCTTTGTGGAAAAAGGAAAAGGGGTTAGCACAGCTCCCGTTTCTCTAAAAATCCCCCAAAGTCTCTTATCTAAAAGCAGGTTGTTTGTTGATGTTGGGAGCTTGGGTAAATAGCTAAAGGCACTGTAACTCATGCAGCAATGCGATCTCACTTGGATGTCTGTCTGTTTCCTAGAAGGATCTATGTGAAATGCAGATTATGTTTACATGCCTCATGTAGTTCTGGTCAGTAGGGGGTAGACAGTCACAGAGGGGAGCGGTGCTTTCCCAAGCAAGGTCTGACCCCCTTTCAACTCCTCACTGGGCTCCACTGAGCCCTTTGGGCAGCTCAGTTTGCTGCAGAGTCAGGCAAGCAATGGGCTTATGTGCAAGCCTCGCCGTGGCAGATTTTAGACCCATCTGTGGGGAAAAGATATGTCTGGTTTATCACCCCTCATTTATAGTGCATATTCTATTTGTAAATTCCACAAACTACATTTTCTCCTGTTACCGTCCCTCTTTCTTCTCCTGTTCTCTCTCTTTTGCCCCCGCACATGCACACAAAACAGCAAAAAAAAAGAAAAGAAAAAGAAAACAAAAAGACTGCTGCAGTGAGAATCAAATACAGCAGTAAACACTGGCAGTCACAGTGGGCAATAAAATGCCGACCACAGCCAGTACACAAACAAAGAGACTGCTCTCCTGTCAAGCAATGGCTATGGAGCAGCTGGAGGAAGATCACATGGTATAAAAAAACCAACAAAACAAAACAAAACAAAAAAGCCAGGAGACAATCATGCTGTTACAACCTATCACAAAACCATATTCTGTTCAACCTTCTCTCGCTCTCACACACAAATTGCTCACCACTTCAGGAAGAATGAGCATAAAGTAGAGGAAATATAGGAAATATGTTCATGAAATGAATGTGGCACAGTTTCAGCAGCATGATTGTGGCTGTTGCCACTGTAATTGCATGTGGTTTTCTATATTCTAAATATAAAAATGAACAAAGTATCTGCAACCATCGTCCCATTTCCTCCTCTGTTCCTACACTATTAAACCTCAAACATTCCAGCATAGTTTTCAGGACATCGGAAAGAAAGTCGCGAGCAGACCCTGAGTTGTCATTATACAAAATATTAGAGCCAAGAAAGTAATATGCCTAATTTGTGGCAAAATGGAGTTTTGAAATCTAGGTGTTCCTACTGGAAATATCTCCCAAAGAATTTGTCAAGTACAAAAGACATTAAAAAGAAAAATTGGCAGAGAAATTGCATTAGAACTGCTTCAGTCCTCGAAACATAAGCCTTTTATTAAATATTCCCTCATTTGATGTTGATTGTGTTGGAGAGTGCCCACAGGTCCAAAATATTCCAAAGGCGTTAATTGGGTGATTGTTAAGGCTGTAGCATGTTAATATATATTTATCCACACCGTGACGCCTCCACAGATTTTTCCCTCCATTTGTCTGTATCTGTCTGTGGTCCTAATGTCTCAGTACTTTTCTCTAATCAATCTTTATCTGCACGACTAGTTCACTGTAATACTGTCTGTAGCTGAAACTGTGCCTTCTATCAGCCTGAAATATGCGTGTTCGTGATGCGAGCTGAAAAAGATTATGATGGATGTGATTCTATATCGGGCAGCAGATGAGGGAATACCTCAGGGAAAATGGGGAGCTCGTATCCAAGGAACATATTGGAAAGACTCTCTGAATTAACAGTGTGGAAATCACCAGAGGGACTAAACACAGGACTGAAGTCTGGGTTGGAATCGAATTCTAAGGATGGCAAGTGTACAGTATACAAACTAATGGTGGCATAAAATGTTCCTTTGTGCGGCCGTTGTTTTGAACAGGACTTAAAAAACAGCTGATGATGTATTCATGCCACATTTTCCTATAAATACATTACACCAGTCTGACTTCTACTGGACAATATTTGCCATTACAACCATATGCTACTGAGTTCATCACATACACACAAGTAATATCCAGTAATCCTTTGGGTTTTTTTTGCCATTCTGTAAAATCAATTAGAAAATATGTTGTTTTTTTTAAAGTGATAAAGTGGATCTTATTAAGCAATTGCACTGTACAAAAAAATAATGTATACAGTCTTTTCTAGCATAATTGAAACTATATCCAAGAACAGGTACCCGCTGTGTTCTCATAGTCTTTATTTCATCTATTTACAAAGAATACAAAACTTTCTTCCATTACTTCATATGAACAGACAGACATAACAAGCAGGGCTTCATTTGTGATGCTGTTTTGTCCAGTTGGAAGCTTCTTTGCGCCCTTGTTTCAGCCCCTACGAAAACACAATAACCCCCAAAATATTACTCATTTTATGAATCCATGACTTTTACATATTCCTAAAAATCTGAAAGGAAAAATAAAGCAACTTAACCAAAAAGGCAAAGCATCAACATTACCATAAACAATTGACTACTATTTACAGCATAACAAAAGGTGAGGTATGTACAAGCTCCAAATCCATGTTATAACCTCCCAAGAAGCCAGCAGGGCTCTGTGCACGTACCAGATAGTATCCTGTGTGATATCCACTCATATACCAGGAGATGAGCATGCTGCCCAAGGCTTCATCATCCACCATGTCAGGGCTCATTGGTGGAGGTGGAGGAACCATCTAAGGTGGAGGCATCAACAGCAGAGCGAATGTTCAGGATGCAGTTGTTGGTGTTTAACGTTGCCATTTGTTAGACCCTAACATGTTATATCCTAAACTGTATCTACATTTAACCTGCTGTAGAGTAAACACACTCCTTTAGCTTTGCTAAGGGTAAAAATTGATCCCAACTCACCGGTGGACCAAAAGGCATCATGGGAGGCCATGGAGGAGGTACAGGCCCATGACTACCAGATCGCTTGCTGCTCCCCTGGTGCAAGACAAAAGACACAAAGGTGGAAGTCAACAGCTTGTAATATCATTACCACATAAAGTACCCAAGATAACGAGAGAGGCTTGAAACTATTTTCATTAGGGAAACTTATCTAAACTGAAGTAAGCGCAGTCTGATGTCTTCCAATTCTTTTACTCAAAATAACTTCTTCTCAACATGGACATAAATATCATGGAAATATTAGGCTTTTATTGATATCTTTGAATTGCTCTGTGAGGCAAAATGATTGCACATTGTTAAGCCTGTGGAGCTGAGACCAGCCTGATAGAGGTGATGTGGTAGTGGTAGGGATTATTAAAAAACAAATCCACTCCAACTGTTAATGCAAGAGGTCTAGAAAAAAAGGGCAAGGTGCATGGCCTTTTAGCTTTGGTTAGTGTCTGCCTAAGTGGTAGCTTTTCTGTGCCAAGGAAGGTTAGTTCAACAACACTAACTGGATTGATCAATACCAACGAAACATCGTACAAGGCAGGAATGATTACTGTAAGCATTTCTACACCAATGCAAATTCAAAGATAATCACAAAGTGCAGGCTTGTCATGAAACAGAAGCTGCTTAAACAACATTGTCACAGTCCAAAGTTAGTGAGGTTTTGGACCAAGTGGCTGGTGTCCAAAATCAAAACTTTCGAGCTCAAATAAAGTTTGTTGCTTCCCACATGAGAATAAAAAGCACAAAATCTTGACACAAGTCATTTAAAAAAAAAAAAAAAAAAAGCTGAGACACTTAAACCTCATCATGATTGTTACGCATGGTGGTGGCAGCATGATACTGAGAGGCTGATCTACTGCCAGTTAAATTAATATAAGCACGGGTGCACATAGGTGGTCCGCAGGTGCGCATTCGCTGGCAAAATAACAGACACGCACCAGATAAGAAGTTGCAACGCGTTTGCGTACATAGGATTTTCTGGAGGAGGACAGACATTTGTTTAGAACTCTTAAAGATGTCGAAGAAGCAAGCTCCTTTAAGCAATTACTTTGGTGTTCCTCCACCTCCAAAGAAATGTCAGAAGGAGTCCGAACCGCAAAAGCAGCGCATATTCCCGGAAAAGTGGTGAGGAGGTGAGCTGGCTTCAAACAAACGATGAATGCACAGAGATGTGGTGCAGAATATGCTGTGAAAATCCCACTCTAGCGGACAAAAACAGTGCCTTTTTATATGTATGCAAACGCGCGTTGCAACTTTTTATCTGGTGCGCGTTTTTTTATTTTGACAGTGAATGCGCACCTGCGCACCACTTATGTGCACCACTGAATATAAGTTAATGAATGAGAAGGACTTTCCAAAATTCTTCATCATAAGCTCAAAACATCAGATAGATGTTTGAAACCTGGAAACAGTTGTGTCGTTTTGCAGGACGATGATCAAACACTCATTAAAGTTGGATAAAACACAAAGCTCAGTGTAAAAATAAGGCATTTGAAATAAAATTCAATAGCTGAATACAACCATATAAAAAAGTGAAATATGCTTAGTAAGAGCTGTGCCAGAAGACCATAAATTCAAGATTTTAACTTTTGTCAAGTGTAAGGAAGAGGACTCCAGCCGCTAAGGGCTGCCCTGTTACACAAGAAAAGAGGTAAAATATGTATATCATGGTGCAAACAAACAAACAAAAAGGAACATTTAAGCAAATTTGTTGATGATTTGTATTTATAACTCTGATGCTTTTTGATTTCAAGTCAAAGATTAGTTAAAACTTTTTTCTTTTTAATATCCATCATTATTACAAGCATTAGTCCCCACATTTCCTGGAAAGCACTAAAAGCCACAAATTCATGTCCATAATAAGTGTATGTATGCTTTTAAACTGAACAGTCAGCATGTAGAGGCTCAAAGAAGGCTTAAGATAATGTACAATATTTTTTAAAACACACTATTTCTTTTCTACTCTTTACAGTTGGGTCCACATAAAGAAATTGGGCCTATTACAATCCAGTCCTGCAATAAATGTTCATATTCTATCTTTAGTGTTCAGATTATAAACACTTTGCTCACGTTTCCTCTTTCTGAATACAACAAACATTCAACCTCCTATCGGGAATTTAATTAATACCTGAAAACGATTTAATCACAATTTAAAAACAAAAATAAGCATGAAAGTAATTTTGTTGGCAGACTAATAATGAATCAGCTCCCTAAAGAGCCTTTCTTCTTACCTGTCTGAAAGCATGCATGGGAGGTGGTACTGGAGGAAATCCAGGAAAACCAGGAGCCCACATAGGAGGTGATTCTTTGTGGGTCTTGGACTTGTGGCCCTTATTAGGTGACTGTTTGTGCTGGTTTGGAGTAGCTGACCTGTCACTCTCCTCCGTTGAAGATTCTGCTTCATGCACCTATGGATAGCAAAGACATACTGCTTTGATCTTTCTCCCCAATTTCACACCACTGGGAACAAATACACAGAAATCCATAAACATATCAGAATTTGTTTGGGAAGCAGTAAGAAATGATCCAGACAAAAACAGAAAGCGCTAACCCATCTATCCATCCTTAGTCCTAAGTTTTAATAGACTAAGAAAGCAATCTGTTAATCGGCAGTGATTTCCATGACTCACCATTTGACAAAATGGTAAAAAAAATATTTAAGCCTGATTTGGTCACAATATTAGTTTTGCTATTTTAACATTCATGATGTGCATATGTGAATAATGAAGGTAAAAACTATGTGCAAATTGTGTCAGGGAACAATACTACCATTTTCTAATAACTGAATTGTTATTTGTATTGTGCTGCTGTTATGTGAATGCATTTATTTGCACTAGTTTACCTTAGTATTTGATTCCTCATCACCCTCCGAAAACTCTGACAGCAGGTCTTCAAGATTCTGCTCCTCCTCGTTGCCATAGCCTGTATAAACAACTATACAAGTGCCTCTCTTCTTGTCTATGGAGGCGATCGTGGCTGCATAGAGCTGCCCATCCTCAGACCAGTAAGCACTACATGAATCCCCAACCTGCCACTGTGACACAACATAAACTGTAATTAAAGTGAAAGTGTAAACATGTGTAAACAACACTGTTTTTGAATGTCTCTGAATTACCAACAGGATACAGTTGTGGTCAGAAAAAAATACTCATCATGGGCATGAATGTCATGGTAACATGGTGCAGAAGATGTGCACAAGTTTAAATTAAATTTATATGGGATCAAAAGTATACATAAGGCAAATATACATATACCGGTACTCCGAATAACGCGTTAAATGTCCCTGAGCAAGTCGCATCTCCACCAGATGGCTTTTGGTAACCATCAACAAGCTTCTGGTGTATTTCTGGTTAAATATTTGATCATTCTTCTCAGCAGAACTACTAGAGTTCATTTAAATTTGTTGGCTTCCTGCACAAACCCAGGTTTTAAGCAAAGTCCACAAATTTCAACGGGGGTGCGGTCGGGCTTTGGGAAAGTAATTCCAAAAGCTTAATGTTAGCCTGCTTTATCCATTCTAAATCCAGTTTTGATGTGTGTTTGGGATCAATGTCCTGTTGGAACACCCAGTTTTCCCAGTTTTTTAAACTTAACTGCTCCAAACAGACCTCTTGTCATTGTGGACAAACAGCTCAACCTTTGTCTTGTTTGATCATAAAGCTTTTCTACACAAGGCATTTGGCTTGTCCATGTGGGCTGCTGCAAATTTCAGGCAGGCTTGAAGATCTTTGGATGAAGGTGCTTCTTTCTTGGTTGGCACCCTTCCACGTCACAGTGATGCAAAACTTGCTTCACTGTGTACAGTGACACTGATGTTGCAGCAGTTTCCAGTTCATGGCAGACTTGAGCCTCAGCAGTTCCTGGGTTGTTCCAGGACATCCTAACACATTTCATCTAATCTGAGGATGTGACAGATTGGGTCTTCTTTGAGACCTTGGATGAGAGGTCACGTGTCCAAGTAACTGTTACTTGCTTACAATTGTTTAAACTGATTATCTTAAAATCTGAAGTTGTTTAGGGACAGCTCCGAAACCATCCCAACTCGTATAAATGTACGAATCTCCTTCTTAGACCTTCATAGAATAGCCTGGAGTTTCCTATTGTAACAAGCACCGGTCAATCCAATAACTGCTGCCATGCAAATCCTATTTATGATGGCAGAGAAACTATTTGTTTTAGTCAATCATGATCACTAATGACAAGTTAATAGGCCTTGCCAAGTTCTAAGTCATTGTTGAACCTTCAGCACCACTTACTAAAATATTTAAGTGAACGTATGTATATATTTAAGCCTGCATTTATACTTTTCACTCTGTGTGGATTAGAGAAAATCCACCTCCCAAAAATGAGTTGTCCACCACATTCTTGATTTTAAAACCCATTTAGGATGTATGCTGTGCAATCACTCCACAAAGTAAAAAGAACAGTTCAAAGAAATCATTAAAATCCTTAAAATTATGATGACAATCATGCTTGTGATAAGTGTAGTTAAACTTCTAACCATAACTGTAGAAACTGTAAATGAAAGACACATTTCGACCACTGATTTGAAACACAGAATCTAAACTGACTTATGTTAAAATGTACTCTCCAGTTTGATACCTCTGACAACTTTGTAAATCATGTGTAAATATTTAACTCTAAACCTTTTCCCCTTCAAATGTATCTGTAGCTTTAGTTCCAGTTCCTCACCTCTTTTTCTGGTGCTGCATTGTTTCTTTTCCTACTCTGGTTCTTCTTGTTGTTCTTGCGTTTCTTTCCTGGTTGGTTTTTCTTTGAGACTTGTGGCTCATCTTCACCCTTAAGGGCAGTCTAACACGCAAATCAAGAAGAGACTTTAAAATAGCAAACAACATTTAACATTCACACATACTGCAATAATCCCAAGTTACCTTGAAAGATGCAACTGCCTTGTCATAAGCCTTTATCAGTGCGGTGTCATCCCAGATGTCTGAATCATCACTCTGGAAGAGAACAACAAATTTGGAGTCTTTACAATACAAACATGTATTTTTAATGGGTATAAATAAATAATGGCTAAACATTACGTGATTTAAAAATAATAAATAATACCTGCAAACCAGATGACATTTACAGCCAATATTTATTTGATGTGTCAAAATAATTCACTAAATAGTAAAAGACGGTGTGCTGAAGAGCAGAAAGACTTTAAACTATTTATGATGAATAATTAATCAATTTCTTTCGTAGAAAACAGGATAAACAGCATACAAAAAGACGAACACATTAAATGTTGCTAAATTATTATTATTATTTTTAAATCTGTCTTAAATCCACAATTATAATGAAGCATCTTACAAGCAGTGCATGCAAAAACAGAGGCAGGATGCAAAGGATTTTAGGCTTATTGTACAGTACACCGTTGTCTCCTATGAACTGTTGCAACTCAACCTAAAACTACTTTGTAAAGCATTTTTGTAACGCATATCCACAATGGTATATTCCAATAAAGCCACGTTTTGTTTATTGAAGCACATCTGGTATATTGTGTATTTCCGGCTTGACTTCTTTTATTACTTTTCTCATATCTTAACTTAGCCTAACTCAACGTTGGTTTATAGCTTTTAGCTATATAGCTCACCGCCTCAAACAACTGCACAGACAGCATAGAAGCGTCATATAAGTCATGTTCCTCCGCGTAATACTGCATTATTACTCGCCTGTCCAGTTCCGCGCGTAAAAAGCACTTCCTTGCATCCGTTCGCCATGTGAACAATTGCTGTATCCAGTGCTAGCCGCTAACTCCTAAACATCTAACTAGCAGCGTGCGTCGGAAATTGTGACGTACAACATTGCGACGTCTATATCTTGCGACGCAGTGGTTGGCTTGGCAACGGCAATTGACGACTTTCCCCCCTTAAGAATCTGTAAACAAAGCATTTGTTGTGTTCTGTTATAGAAAAACCAGAAAGCCTCGGAGACTATAACCTTTTCTGTGCGATGATTGAGTCGTCTGTAACTTCTTTAGGTGCGAAAGTTGTCCTCGTTGCATCCAGCGATGAAAATCACCCACCAGAAAACATTATCGACGGGTGAGTGCTGGTTTTTAAGCTGTGATTATCTCAGCATCTTTGTCAATTTTCATATATTCATTTAAACAAAACGAAACAAATTATGTGATTTTGCTACAAGCTGCTACTAAAAGGCGCCTGAAGATGCAACTTAAATTTGCTTCTTTGCTAAGCTGTCTGTTGTGTTGACATAACACTGGTTCGTCCCTTCAAATTCAAAGTCAAAGTAAACTTTATTGTCATCTCTGCTAAATACAGTTCAGTATATAGAGACGACGAGGCTCCAGTTCCATACAGTGCAAAAGAACAACAAGAAATATATAAAGAGTAAGAATAAAAAGAATAAATATATATAGACTTTGAGACTGAGGTAAGAGGAGTAAATATACACTTTGAGGTAAAAGGGTTAATAACAGTCTAAAATTTACAATTGAGATTTAAGGTGACTTTGAAGTGGTTTAAAATGACCATGATTCCTGAGAGTAGGATTCTCCATAGAGCAGCATCTGTATTTACAAAGGCAGTGGTATGTGGAGTCCGGTAGAGTCAGTTAGTGGTTTGTGTGGGTGTATTGAGGGGGGTGGGGGGGAGGTCTGGTAGTGAGTTCAGGAGTCTGATGGCTTGTGGGAAAAAGCTGTCTCGCAGTCTGGAGGATCGGGCCCCAATGCTGCGATAGCGTCTGCCGGATGGGAGGAGGGAAAAGAGTCCATGTGAGGGGTGTGACGGGTCACGCATGATGCAGGAGGTCTTACTGATGCAGCGTTTGTGAAAAATGTCCAGTAGCAGAGGGAGAGATGTTCCAATGATCTTGGCGTGGCTTTCTTTGCTTGTGTGTTGTTCAGAGCATCAAACCGTGCGTAGAACTTGTTCAGCTCCTTAGGAAGTGTGGCATCTCCATCACAGGTGCCTGTTGCAGGCTTGTACTGTGTGACGGCCTGAATGCCCTGCCATAAACTGTGAAAGTCCTTTGTGTTGTGGAAGTGGCTCTGGATCTTTTGTGCATGTGCATGCTCTGCCTGTTGAATGCCGCGGGAGAAATTTGGGTGTCTTGAATTAGGGGCTTTATTTTTTGCTTGAATGAGTCACATGATTGTGCAAATGACTGGAAAAGCGGTAGGACTATTGCTTTAGCTAACATTTTTAATATTTCAAGAAAGTCTGGCTACATGGCAGCAAAATATGAAGGTTTTTTTGTGCAATATTGTATATCTACACAACAAAAGTTGATATCAAAATGTGATCTAAAAAGGTCTCATCAATGGTAAAATGTCATGATTTTCTGTCTTTCTTATCACTCAGAAACACTAAAACGTTTTGGATGTCCACTGGGATGTTTCCTCAAGAGTTCATCATTCACTTCCCTGAACCTACAAACATTGGCACTGTGACAGTGGACAGCTACAATGGTATGGAGGCTGTGTGCACCTTAGGTCAAACATACATGTCCAGTTCTAAAAACGTTGGGTCCATGTGTAAAATTTGATGAACTGAATATAATAATTTGCAAATCTTATAAACCCATATTTTATTCATAATAGAACATAGAAAATTAAAGAATTTTAAGAAAAAATAATGGTTCATTTTTAATTCAGTCGTATCAGTACGTCCCAAAAAAAATGTCAGGGCTGTGACTACACTGCGTAGTATCCCCTCTTCTTTTAAGAACAGTCTGTAAATGTCTGGAAACTGAGTGACCAGTTGCTGGACTTTTCTTGTCGGACATTCTAGCTGTTCAGTAGTCATGGGTCTTTGTTGTTTTTTTTGGGTTTTTTTAGTTCATGATGAGCCAAGTGTTTTGAACTATTGAAAAGTTAGGACTGCAGGAAGGCCAGTTCAGCACCTAGACTTGTCTATTATAAAGTCAAGCTGTCGTAATAAGTGCAGTATACAGTTTAACATTGTCTTGTTGAAACATGCACGGTCTTCCCTGAAAAAGACGTCATCTAGACAAGAGCATGTGTTGCTCTAAAACCTCTATATACTTTTGATCACTGATGTTGCCTTTCTAGATGTACAAGATGTGAGTTAAATAGGCGCTACCATACCATCAGAGAGGTTTTGAACTGAGTGCTCATAACAAAGCAGTTGATCCCTGTCCTCTAGTCTTGGGACTATGCAGTTTTTATGTCTTCCAAAAAAATTTTCCAAATACTTTTCCACCTTATCTCAGTCAATTTTAAATGAGCCTTGGCCCAGAGAAAGCGGCGGCATTTCTGGATTGTGTTCATGTATGGCATTTTCTTTGCGTGATAGAGCTTTAACCTAAGTTGAATGGATGGTACAGTGAATTGTGGTAACAGACAGTGATTTCTGGAGAGGTTCCTAAACTCATGCAGTGATTTCCATGGCATAATCATGCCTGTTTTTCAGTGCTGCCCGAGGGCCTAAAGATCAAGGGTATCCATGTATTTTTAGCCTGTATTTATTTGTCCCTTTCACACAGAGATTTCTTCAGATTTCCTGAATCTTTTAAACAGAGATATTCTTTTTATACCCAGTCATGTTACTGACCTGTTGCCAGTTAACCTGACTGGCTGCAAAATGTTCCCCTAGCTGTCTCTTTTTAGTATCACGTACTTTTCCAAGCTTTTGTTGGCTCCGTCCCCACTTTTTTTGAAATATATTTCTGCCATCAAATTCAAAATGACCTTATTTTTTTCTCAGTTTAAATATCTGTGTCCTTTTGTGAAAAAATGAGGGTTTATGAGATTTGCAAATCAGTGTATTCATCTTTTATTTACATTTTACACAGCATTCCACAATCCCAGCTTTGTTTAAAATTGGGATTATATTTTGTGTGGATTGTATGCACCCCTCTGAAGTAAACAGGCATTAAAATGATTTTATGTAGCACGGCTTGAAAACACTTTTTGTAGCCACGTAGTATTGCAGATTAGCTGCTCTTCAAGGGAATTATGAGCACCTTTCCCAAAGGTTTAGGTTATGCTTTTTAAAGTAATGTGTGGGATAACAAATTCTTAGTGGTGTTATTGTAGAAATTGACCTTTTCTTTTCAGCCAACTACAGGATATTTCCATTTATAATTTGCCGATATACGCATGAATCCATTCTTGTCATTGTTGTTTCCGCTCCTTCGGAGCCCCCAAAGTTTTAATCAGTACTGCACACTCAGGTGATGTGTTTTATCTCTCCACTGCTAATATTCAATACCAGGCAGCGGTATTGGTTGGGGGTTAGGGTTCTTTCTGATGACTCTTCCATGCAGACATAATCACCCCTTCATGAAACCTTCCAGCAGCTCATTTGCAGTCATGATGTTTCTGCAGTTTATTTGAAAAATTTCTTGGGCTTCCTGAGCTTTACGTGGCCTCAACAAGCCCCCCTTAAGTTCCTGTCACGATATGTCAATAAAACTGTAATTAAGTGGCTCAGAAAAAGGAAACTGATTAATCTGTCAAACACTGGACAGTAAATGACTGCTGGGTCATTTAAAGGAAGAGAAACGTCTCAAGGATGAGGTGTAACATTGTTCCATATTTAAAATGCTTATTGTTAAATATTGTTTTCTAGACATATCTATTTCCTTTAAAGTTTGTATCTATATCTCATGTTGTTTCATGGCTTCTTTCCAATTTTTAATATCTTCTGCTGATTTCTTTCTAATTGTTTTGCAGTGAAGCACCTGAAAATAGAAAAAAACACCTCACAAAATGCTTCTCAATTTGAGCCTGTTGCAGAGAAAGGTAATAAGGACATCCAGTCAAAGCACCATTCACAGTGTTTTTAACTGGGATTAACAAACTCTTTGCCTTGCAGAGTTTGAAAGTACAGAGGGACATCTTCAGTCAAATGCTATAACAGTAGGTTCAAATGGAAATGTAAAGTAAATGTAGAATGAATAAGTTTAATGAGAATTAATGAAGCCATGACTTGTCTTTATTTTTCTCTTTCAGCTAAATGGATGCAGTGCCACCCACCTTCGTTTCATCATCACCGCGGGATATGATCACTTTGTCTCAGTTCACAGAGTCAGTGTAAAAAATTAACACACATAATTAAAATGATTGTGTGTATAACATTTACGAGGTGTGATCATAAAGTTATGCGGCGAACCCATAAAAATCAAAAACCATACTTTATTTAAATTTGGCCTGACTTGAATTTAATTTTGGTTACACATTTGGTTTAGCCTAGAATGGACTCAGTTGGGAACCTGGATAGCTGGAGACCCAAGAGCTGAGTAGTTATTCCTGTTATACTTCTTTAACAAGTCTGTGTGGTTACAAGAATAAAAAAAATGGCAGACATTAAAACATCCAGACAGACCCTCTAACCATCTGATGACAAAATTTACGTCACTCGGACCCTAGCGGACTCGTGGATACAGAATGTATAAAGCAGAATTTATTTTTCAGCAGAGGTAGCGCGTTTGCAGTCTGGTGATGGCGAGCTCTGTTGTCAAGTATGGTAAATGGCCTGTATTTATATAGCGCTTTACTAGTCCCTAAGGACCCCAAAGCGACAAAGGCAACGGGTGAAGGACACAACGACCGAGACTGTCCAAGCCAGGGCTCGAACCGGCAACCTTCCGATTACAAGGCGAACTCCTAACTCTTGAGCCACGATCGCCCCATGTATGTAGTACAGGCAGTCTGTAAGCCCCTCTTGCTTGTGTTGTTGTTGGTCAGTCAGCCAGCTGTGGAAAAGAGCAAAGTTCTAAAAACAGTGAAAAGTGTCCGCTGCACCGATTGTCTGTAGTTTTTGATCTTTGAAGTTTATTTCATGGTTTCTCCTGTTCCTGTTGAACTCCACCTTACCTATTCTAGCCCACCTCTGGTTATAGAACTCCACATTGACTGCTTGAGTGCTGGCTCAGATCCAGAAGTGCACAAAAAGATGACCTTGAAGTCATGGATACTGAAATTTGAAGTGAAATCAGGCATACTTTTTATTTTCATGGGAGTTGTGTAACGTTGTGAGCTCATCACATGTATAAAAATAATACGACCATTTTTTTTTCATAAGCATATACAGTCAGGTCCATAAATATTTGGACAGAGATGACTTTATTCTGATTATGATTGTGTACATTACCACAATGAATTTTAAATGAAAATACTCAGATGCAGTTGAAGTGCAGCAATTTTAATTCATTGCTTAAAATGTGAGCAACTAAAGTGTGTTTTTTTTTTTTTTAAAAACAAACTCAATCTCTTCGTTCCAGGGGCTCAAAAGTCGTTGGTCAAATTAAATAACTGAAAATAAAAGGTTCATTTCTAATACTTTGCTGACAATGACAGCTTGAAGTCTTAAACTCATGGACATCAGCAGATGCTGGGTTTCCTCCTTTTTAATACTGTGCCAGTCCTTTACTGCAGCAGCTTTCAGTTGCTGTTTGTTTGTGGGCCATTATCCACAGCTCCATGTGGATAATGTGGATACCCTCAAATGAAGGTGGAGAGTCTCCACATTATGTCCGTGTCCATTACAGAACTATAACTGGAATATGTTTCTGTAAACGGGTAAAAAAAACAACACTTGTGTCAGTGTCCAAATATATATGGACCTAACTGCATGACTTTGTGGTATTTCATTTTTAATTAAACAATAATAAAAACAAAACCATACACACACGCATTATTTGACATAGCTGGGGAACTATGAATCTTCCTGTGATATGTTTGATAGAGAAAACATTTGAATGCATTTTTAAGCCTACCTTATGATTAGGACATTTGTGTCAATTCATTTTCACAGTTTTTGCCTATTTAATGTTATGGATTCACTAATGGGCCTTATTTTAAATCCTACATTTGACTGTTCCTGCCTATTTCACAAGCTGATAATAGGCAAAGCCTTGGAATAAAAGAGCCGGATGGTGATGAATGGTAGAATTACTTACAAAGGAAGTTTCTCTCTCTGTGTGAGAGATAGAATTAATTAAGTAATTTTGAGCAGCAGGGGCTTAAATTGGAATCCATACAGCCCGCCCACCACCCACCCCCATCCTCACGAACAGAATTTGACATTGCCACAGACATTTATAACCATGGGCAACCTTGCTGGGGGGTTGGGGGACCAGATGGTTTCCCAGCCAACGAGTGAGTGTCTAAAGACTCCAGGCCTGTTCACACAAAATATTCAAGCCACCTCTTCTACTTACTGTATATATCCTTTACACACACACAGTAACGCTTCCTCATAAACACTCATAAACCTATCTACCTCAGCTGCCATTTCAACATGTCGGTAGCAAAGGCTTCAGCAGTATGTGAGGACCCTTTGGGACTCCCTCCCCAATTACTTTTCTGACTGCACGAGGCTTGGGGATTTGCAGAGCCTGTGTTTGTTATAGCTTGGTCTGCATGCAGGGCCCTGAATAAACCAATAAAAATATGAAATAGTTGCCTGAATAACTGGCCTCCTGATAGTTTAGAGCAACTAATTGCTTAGGGGTATAGTTCGGATGGAGCACATTTGAGTATGTGAGTGTGTAATGAGTAATGAGGCCAAGGCAGAAACTGATACGGTGTTATTGACTCTTCTATTATTTACCAGTATGGAATATTTATTATATTTTTGAAAGTCAGGTTTGGACCGTGAAATGCAGTGCTTCAGAGTCATAGGAGTACATTTTTCCCTCCTCGGTAGTTCAGGTGTGAATTTTAATTCACATGTTTGCTTTAAAAATGTAACCAAAGAGCCTCGCTTTGCATGTTGAACAGGTCTGAAAAAGCTCCTCTGTGTTATTAATGAATTCAGGCCCTTTTGTGCTTGACTATCAGCCGATCAGAAGAAACACAGCAGGATATGAGTGCATTATTATCATGTCACTGCAGGGTAGGGCTAAATTATCACCCAGTCTACTGATGGCTGTCTAACTGCTGTTCAGTCATACTCAGACATCTGCTAGACCAGAACTCTGTATGTTCAGCTGAGTCTATAAAAAGAGATCGGATCCTCCCTGAAAACCCCTGTTCAGTAGATGATACAGCTGACAGAGGTCGATATTTGTAAAATTATTAAAAGCCCACAATAAATATGTATGCATGCAATATATTTTTCAGTTAATTATCAGTTAAAACACATTAAAATGGCTACGTTTCAAAATCACAGGAAAAACATTGCATTTTTTTATTGCAATTGTGTAAATATAGTTGATGTTTTGTATGTGGTTATTTTGAGGAAGAAATCCGCCACCCACCCCAGCTCTGTTATTTTCTTTCACCAGCGACTCTGAGTTTCTTGTTATCTCTTCAGTGTGGTCCTCCATTCACGTTGGTGACGAAGCCACTGACAATGGGCCTTAATTTGATTTCAGTTCTGATTTGGTCTCATCAGCTCATTTATGACAGAAGCTGAGACACAACGAGCTGTTGTGAAAGGAAGGAAGTGGTATCAAAAGGCCGAAATTAGCTGATTAGATGGGAGAGGGAAACAATCTTCCTATTATTTAAGTCCAACAGGAATGGAGAATGATAGTGAAGAACTGACACTCATATTTATTTATGAGTTTAATTCTAGCAATTGCTCATCAAATCCACCCTCATGCAATTCAGTTGAGAAACATATTAAAAGATAGTTGTAGTAATGATTAAAAACAGGCATAATGGGAATTGGTGCTGCTTCTTTGGGAGATGGAGAAAGCTCTTTAATCTGTTTTCTGGCAAAATTAGTCTCACTAAACCGGTTTCCAAAGAAGCAGCCAGTGTGTGTATAACAAAGAAAGAAAGAAAAAATCCAGCTCACATCTGATGTAATGTGCTGTCGTGATGCAAACCAGAATGCAGTATTGGGCCTCTCTGCAACTCCTACTGACCTTGCAGTGGCTGTCCCTTACCCCTACACCAGCCTGGGGGTGTGAAAAAGCTTTTGTACACTATGCTGATCCACCTGTCTCCATGCTGTCAGGCTGAGAAAAAGAAGAGCTGTCAGATACAGGGCTAGCCACTGAAAGCACCTAGCGAGCATAGTACTCCTCAGACATCTCAACCATGCTTATTGAGTGGCTCCTCAGTGCCTTTGCTACGTAGCAGGGCTTCATAAATTACTGTCAAAAACCAGAATCATATTTAAAGCATGGATTTTCAGCCTAAACTATAGATGTGTTACATAATAAATATTGGGGCAGTGGGACTTCTGCTTCATATTTAAAGAGTTAATTTAACCCTTTAAACCCAAGAAAACCCACAGGTTTTTGTGACCTTATGAGACTTCTACATTATTAATGTATCAGATTAAAAGTTCCAGAGATGGTGGATCAATGCTTGTAAGCGCGGGAACAGGAAGAAAACCTCTATTTACTGGCCATGATCTTCAGACATGAATATGGACACAATTCTGTAATAGAAAATTACTACAAGGACAAAGAGCAATTCCAGAAACCATCATCAATGAGCACAATTGTGGCTTCATCCAGAAATGCGAGTTTAAACTCTTCCATGGTGCCAGCCAGACAACATCTGTGAGACAGCGCTAAACCTTTCTGCATGTATTACAACAGCATGGCTCCATAGTAAAAGAATACAGGGGCTAAATTAGCCTGTCTACAAACCAGACAGTCAGCCACTAAAAACATTTGGTGCATTATGGAATAAAAGCCAATAAACCAGGCTCCCAAACTGTTGAGCAAGGAAATTCATTGATCTAAAGCCTAAATGGAAAAAACCCTGTGCTTTCAACACTACATCAGTTTGCCTCCTCAGTTTCCAAATAGAAACAGCTCAGACAAAAGCACTGGAGTGCTGAACTTTTCTAGACATTACACAGCAAAAAAGCACGAGAAAACGCAGTCAGACTGAAGATTAAACAGTCTTTTACCTGCAAGGTCCTAATGCTTCTACATGAGAATCAGGCAGGTAGTATATGTCTGTTAAAGTCAAAGGAAGTACGCTTTTTCTCCTGCATGCTCTATCCAGCTGTCACCCTTGCCTAAACCAAGGGCGTGTCTTCATATCTGCTACATTTGAAAAAGGGCAACTCAGAACAATGATCAGACCTGATTCTCCCAACGTTTTAGTTTAGTTTAGTTCAGTTGAAAATATTGCCGTTCTGTTTTTATTTCAATTTCACAGCATTGGAAACACTGAAATATCTTTGTAGAAGCAAAAGTCAATTTTGAATAATCTTGATTTCAAAATAGAGCACAAGAATTTTGTCAAAATTACAAGTTGTGATGCACAAAAGGCAACCATTTGCAACATGTTTGATGTGCTTTGCTAATCAGCTATGTTCATACTAACCCAGGATGAGTTAGTAAAGATTTTTGTCCATGATATACAAGTTGCTCTTTGGCTGATTGATTTATTTTTGAAAATGGGGTTTCAAGCATCTTCTTAAAACCATTATCATAGCTGCAATGTCCACCATCCTTTTGTTACTTTCCTTGTTTCACCAGTTTCTGTGCCTAGGCTTAGAGTAAGTAAGTAAGTAAGTACTTTGTATTGAGTGCCTACTGGTTACAGCCACCCAGCTTAGATTCCACTTAGTCTGTCTGCCTCCAAATCTTTCCTGACCTGCAGGCAGAATCATATATTCTGCCTCACTGTCTGTCTATGTTAGTGTTGAGCTTGGTGGAATAGTTAAACTTTTGCTTCACAAACTACTTTGCCCTTGTGGGAAGTGGAATAGCTCCAGAATATTAGAGCCAAATGGCTGGGACTGTAGCTAGGAAGGATTGTTTGCCTCCAGTGGGAGCATCGCCAGCTTACTTTTTCGCAAAGTTAGATGAACGGTTTAGATAGACATTACTGGAAAATCGCCCCTTTTTAAACTTCTAAAATATTTGCTTTTATTGTAGATTATCCAGCTCCCTTCAATCTGTCTCCTTCTCACAGAGCACAAAATAGATGCCAACGTTTACACTTGGTGTCTGTTAGAGGTCTATATTGTACTTCATTAAGTTCTGGAAAAATATGGGTGGGGTGCGGGCTGAGATGCCACTGGAGATCATCCATTGGATCTTTAAGGTGTAGTAATTTGCCGTGCATGTGGCTGCCACATATGAGGTAATGTTGTAGGTCTCTTACCTGTTTCCTAACAGGAAACTCCCAAGGCCTAACAAAAAGCAGCTTTTAACTAAAGGAGCAGGAGCCCTCATCATTGCTTCCTTTGGCCCACAAAAATACCCTCAGCAAATGAGAAGACCAGATAAGCAGCGGCTGAAAATAATGAAAAACAGACACACATACACAGTCCTTCTTTTATCAGAGAGATGCACAGTGAACATTTTTAATCCCTGCTTGTGTTTGTAGAATCGGCTGTAGTAAACAAATTTGAACAATTGCATTTAAAAATACATATGTGTTCAGTGGACTAATGTATACATGATAACAGGACTCTATGTGACTTCTTTTCAGCAAAGTTTATCAGTGTAAATTTGCTAATCGCGCAAGTGAACTTTAAAGAGCTAGATGTATTAGTGCCACTGTTGTCTGTTTGTATATAGACCTCTCATTATACTGCAGAAGACTCACAATGCGTGGCAGCTTAACATGACTTCATTATGTATTTTGTGGATTTCTTTTGTTACACCGGTGTCTCTAGAAAATAGCCACGATTTATAATTGTGTATAGTTTTTGAAATGACTAATAAAAAAATGCTTAAACTACATTCCATGCTCAATCCCATTACGAATACAAAATGTGGGAGCGTAACAGTGAGATGGATTAATTAAGCAAATTAAAAGGAAGAAGCCCAGACTCACAGTAGATGATATCTTTGTCATTTGGTCATGCTGGGAGAGACAGATGTTAAGCAGCTACCATGCTTATTGTGCATTGCCATCAGACATTAATCATGAAGGAAATAAGTCAGCTGAACATTAAGTGATCCTGTTAGACAGAAAAACAAACAATCCCCCCCGAATATTAAATAATTTAGTATTTACTTTTAAACAAGTGATAACACTGTCATCACCAAAAGCTAATCCGTCAAATAACTCTTTAAGCACACTAATTAGCAGTGAATGAACTCCAGTTGGGACGTTGCCTGAGACACAGAGACAGATAATTTTCTACGGCTGAAAAAAGCAGTCAGTTTTCAAATCTCTGTGGCAATAACATCATCATAAGTTTGTAACCCTGAGCTGTAGGCGACATCCATGCTTAGCTCTGTCCGGCTCTCCAGTTCTGCTGTCAGCTCCTTCAGGATCCTTTCCAGGTCGTGGTTCTTCCTGTGCATCTGCAGGTAGTTGATCTGGAGCTGTTTCTGATACCTTATAACTCTGTCTTTCTCCTTGTTCCACGTCTGCCTCTCCTGTTCAAAGCTGCTGGCTAGCCTCTTTTGAGCATTCTTCTCCTCCCGTAGCTGCTGCTTAAGTCTGTCCACCTCTCTTTGGAGGGATTCTGTGGAGGTGTGCTCATTGTTCTCTCCCTCTCGCCCCTGGTCTGTGGATTCTGAACCTTGGCTTTCTGTCTGAGACGGGGAATGGGTTCTGACTTGCAAACTGTGCTGCAGCCTTTGCTCTTTGGCAGTGACTAGATCCTGTTTCATTCCTTGAATGTCTTTCTCCAGTTTGCCCACTTTCTCCCTCAGAAGATCTGCCTCATTCTTTTTGCGCTGGAGTTCATTTTGGCACACCTGAATTAAAAACGGAAAATGGTCAGAACCTAGGCAGCAATTATAAGACTGTTGTGAGGGATGTAACAGGCTCTAATTATACAAAGTGCCAAATAAGCTCACTTTTTAGGACTGTAATTAAGTGTGCTAAAACATGGAAATTGAAAACACTTTACTCAACATGCGGCAGTCAAATATAGCACATGATTGCAGGGATCCTTCCAAGCTATTGTCATATGAGCATTGTGTGAGCATTTTATGCACATGTCCGTGTCTCATCTCTGCAGTGGCGTAAACTGCAATCAGCAGACTAACCTCAATGTCTATGGTGCGGGAGTGAAGACTGTCCTCGTGGTTTTTGTTCTGTTTCTCCAGAATCTCCATTTTTGCTGTTTTTTCCTTCAGCAATGCCCTGAGGCCGACTATCTCATTCAGCTTGTGGCTGACATCCGCTTGACACTCTCTTAGCTGCTGCTTCAACAGTGAGATCTCTCCTGTCTTTTGGCACACCTACATTCAGACAAAAGACAATTATGAAGATGAAACTGTGAATTATCGTCTGTAAAGTAGGCAGTTAGGGAAACGTAAACAACTGCTTAGCCTCATGCTGTTTTAATATTGAATTGCCCCTTAATGTGTCTTTTTGTGGGTGTATTTGCCTCAAGATAGCATATACCCACAGCATTACGGATTCAACTGTAAAGTTTGTTTTACAATTAGTCTTATAAAAATCTATAAAATTAGCACAGAAACCGTGAAAAAAAACATTAATACATTTCTCTGCCAGGAATGATTGTACGCATGAAAAGCAACACTTTCACGTGCCAAAGATTAACTGTAAAATAGATAGTTAATAAATAAGCTAATAAAATTCTGGACTCCTTGTAGCTATTTTTTTTCTTCACCTTAAATTGTTAAAGGCTTGTGTTCAAGAGCTGTGTTCTCTAAGCTTAGTTTATCAGAGCAGATTCTTGCTGCTGATAAATGTTAGTGAGGGGTCTGGCGAGACTAAATCAGATTAGTGCAGCAACCAAACAATGAGGTGAAAGGTGCTGAAAAGCTTCTTGGAGTTGGAGTTGAAGGGAGCTGCAGAGTTGGTGATAATTCCCTTGGCAGCCTCTTTGATTGTATATATAGATCATATATATAGAAAATCAATCAGCATTTCTCCCAAATTCTTAGGAGTTAAGTTTGCAGCTACTCACAATATAAACGTATCAATATGCACTACACTGAATGCAGTGCAAGTGGCTTTCAGTTCAATTCAAGTCAATTCTTATAAGTGATAATGAAAAAGCATAAAAAATAGAAGATATTCAAATGTTTTCTCTGGTGATGGAAGGATAGCTGGTATCCCACTTCAGCTCTATATTGTATTACACTGTTTTTCATGCTACAAGCTTTCATGTCTAACTCACAGTATATCACATATATAACCCATGACTTACCTCCCACTGAGTTTCCTCGAGGGTCGGAGCTAGCTGTGTGCTCTCTGCCTCATAAGCCTTTAGTCTGAGCTCAATAAGCTCCTTCTCCCGAGTTAGCTTAGAGAAGTCTTCCTGAAGCCTTTCCTTCTCTGCCTGCACGAGAATTTATTTTTCCTTTCAATTATTCAAGTGGTCAAGTGTTACATGAAATATGGTTGGTAGGATAAAGATGACCCAGGAATACGTGGTTTTAAATAAAGGCAGACGAGGGCTGACCTGGAGCTGGCTGACTTGCAGCTGGAGTGCTTGCTGTGTTTTTGCAGCCATTTGGGACGCTTGGCGTAGCTTTGTGGAGCATCGCTGCTTCAGCCCTTCCATCTCTTCAGCACAGTACCTTTGTCTTTCCTCAAACAGCTGGCAGGTGTCTGTTTCCTTCTCCTCAAAACTCACCTGTTGCAAAGTGAAAGGCCTAATTACTAAGGAGTGTTCATTTTCATCGTGATTAAGAGCACATGCTGGTTTTTTTTATTTTTTATTAACCTCTACTTTTTGTTCACGTGACAGTTCTGTACCTGCAGCTCCTGTAGTTCACTTTCTCTCTCCAGCAGCTTTTGTTCCAAGCGTTCAATCAGTGACTCATCTGTAGTTATGGGAGACCGAATCCCACCTGCAGTCTCAGAGAGAGCGCTTGGCTCATCTGCAGAGAGTGGGGAGCTGGCGTCCTCATTAGCCTTAGATACCAACCCACTGCTGTTTAAATCAGCACCGTAACTACAGTCAAGGTTAGCGCTATTCCCGTTGACCCATGGAGGGAAATTGGGTTGTACTCCCTCGCTGAGGCTATTTGCAGGAGCGGAGCTGCCATCGCTGTGACTGACAGGGCCTGTGGAAGCACTTAGGCTGCCGCTGGTGCTGTGGGTGGGAAGGCTAGACATGGAGTTGCGTCCAGAGTCGGACAGAGTGCCTGAGGGGAAAGAGATAACATCGGGTACGTTCGTTTAATTTTTCATTCAACCCAAGCAAAATGTATTTTAAAGCATCAATCCATGCGTGAAATATAGACGAAAACCTGAAGTGTCCCGCTTGTCTCTAATATTTGGATTGCTTGCTTTCTTCAGAGGACAAAGGATGTGGTCCAGGCTGTTGTGGCCTGTCTCTGTGGATGAAGTCCTTGTGGGATTTACGCACTTGAAGGCAGTGGAACGGACCGATGACTTCTCAGCAGAAGTCTAGAAGAGTGAAATGGCACACAGTCAGGGCTCTTCTTCCCTACTTTTGTATTTATATTCACTGGGTTCCTCTTAGTTAATATCACAGCCAAAAGCAAGTCCTTTTTCACAGAAGTATAAAGGGCTGAGGATGAGTCACATTCTTAAACTTAAAAATCATAATGACTGGCTTTACATAGATAAATATTGTCACATGCTGGAAGTCCGTACAAATGAAAGGGATAGATTTTTTTGTGTCTGTCTTTTCATATTAGAAATAGAACCACTGAAGCGTGCAGAATTGCTTCTCTACAAACTGCCGGTATTAAAAGACACACAGCAGTAGTTGCAAGTAAAATTCACCAGACTGTCAAAAAAGGGAAAACTCATTTCAAAGATGAACTTATACTCCACATGCCCCATCTGGGCTGTCCAAGAATGTCACATGCAGTGCCATACCTTCGCTTCTTTCTGTCCTCTTTTCCTTCCTTCTGCATCCCATATCTCTCCTCCATGTGCTGTCTGAGGGAAGATGAATAGCCCTTTTCAGTGATATTAATAATATGAGCTATTGCTGAAGTGTAAGAGGTAAAGCTTGTGAACTCAGCATTCTTTCACACTGACTTCATGGCTGGGATGCCTTTCCTTATGTTTTTTTCTTTCTATCTCTCAAATTCTCTTTGGCCCTTGATCCCTCGCTTTATTTTTTATTTTTCCTTAGTCTGTGCTGTCTACTTAAATCCCACCCTTCCTCCTCCTCAAGGTAGCCAAGCCCCGTTCATAAGGCCTAAAAACCTATAGAAGACGATGCTGTTTGCTTTGGTATTCTTGGCACAGAGAAGACTTTTCTGAAAAGATCAAGGCACCCTTAGGTCATTAATCTGGGAGGGAGTGATTAATAAGCTGGGAAGGTCCTACACAGGTTATGAGGAATAGCTGCTACTTATTAAACTACCTGCTGTGCATGTTTTATCCTCCACTTCGCTGTGAGGTTGTTAAAGTCTATTTCAGCTACTCAGCATGACTTCTTAATGGTTGTCAGGATAACCATAGCAACTGTTCCAGTTAAGGAAAGCACAGTGAAGCTACATTTTTTATAAGGGCATGAAAATACAGTACATCATGATCTCAATTAATATCTAAATGTATTACTTTAAACTTATTTGCTTGATGTTGTGGGTTGTCAAAGATGAACGCAGCAGCATCTAGGATCGGAAACTAAAGACATATGAAACTGTGTTAGAGTTTCATTCTTTTTTATGATGGCCAACAGCAAGAGGGTCTCTTTTTGAGAAACAAAAGCAGACTGGGCAAAAGTCAAATCCAGTCTTTGCTTGTGACGTTGCCTGCTTGGACTTGATAAACCATAGACTGACATCACAATGGCTCCATACATCTTCCACACAGGAGCCTATGACATATATAGTCATGTATAAAATTACGTTTTTCACAGGACTCTATGCAGTCTACGTAAACCCTTACTGCTTCTGTAGGAATTATGAGAGTAATTAGCAGCCAGGTGATGCTAATGAAATATACTCTGTTAATTTACCATCAGCTCAAGTGTGGGTGCCTCTATAAAAGCAGAATTTTTAGTGTAAATGCTCCAGAACAGCAAGTATCAGCAATGATCTCAGTAAAACTATTTTTGTTGCCCATCTTTATGGTTATATGGTCTATGGATATAAGGCCACAATCTAAAGTCTGTCATTATACAGTGAGAAAGATTATTTACAAGTGCAAAACATTCAGGACAACTGTTGGTCATAACAGGAGCGGAGGAGGAGGAACAGGAGAGGATCTTCCACCTCCAGGTCAAAATGTTTGGCCATAATGCACAGCATTATGTTTGTTGAAAACAGAACACAACATTTCAGCCCAAACACCTCATAAGATCTGTTAAACACAGTGGTGGAGGGCTCATTATTAGGGCTTCTTTCTTTTGTTCTTTTTCTTCAGTAATTGAGGGCATGCAACAGGAAAATGATCCCAAGCACGGCAGCAACTTTTCAACAGAATGGCTGAAAAAGAAAAGAAGTCCAGACCTCAACCTAATTGAAATGCTGTGACGGGACCTTAAGAGAAATGTGCATAAACGAATGAGCTGAAGCAATGTTGAAAAGCAGAGTGGACCAGAAATCCTCCACAACAAGTGGAAAATGATTACTTCAAGTTGTTGCTGTTAAAGGTCTGTCTACAAGCTACTGAGTCGCAGTTTACCCCGTTTTTCCATGGACTGCATAGAGTCCTGTGAAAACTTTCTTTTTCACCTGACTGTGAAAAAGAACTCAGCTAGCAACCAGTTAGCGTCATGCTGGAGGGAGCTGCCAGCCTGACTGTGTCTGATGTATAAACTGTATAAAAGAATGAGATAGCTGCTGTAATTTCAATTAAGTGGATTGTGGGCAGTGGCTGTGAAGCCTGTGGGCACCATCGTCTTGGATATATTGATCACCTTGGATTAGAGGATGGAGCCGAAGAGGAAAGATGGTCGAATCTGGCTGAAAATCAATCATTACAGTAGCCAAGCTCTGCTTTATTCTTTATAATAAACAGTGCAAGACCTATAACATGAAGCTAGTCAAGGAAACCATACATCTATTAGAAAAAGGTTAACAGAGGTAATAGATTACCGTAAGCTAAATTCTAGATCAGGTTCTTTTTGCCACCTGCTGGCCATATGAAAAATGCAAGCCCAAGGGACATCTTTCCCTAAATTAGCCCCACCTTTCATAAACATGGACTATACCTGCTACTTTATTTACAGTTTTTTTGTTGTTTTTGTAGCCTTGAGCACTAACTTGTAGGCGTCTCATTGCCTAGCAACAGCTGTAATGAGAAACAGCTGGAATAAATCGGTTAATTTTTTTGTGCTTAACCTTTTAAATCTTGTCTTATATTCTAAGAATAACACGATTAAGCATGGAGGAAGAAAACAACAACAACACCAGGCTCACCTTCTCAGTCACATTTCCAGACATGAGCAGCAGTTTTGGTTGCATCTGCCCATCAGATTTCCCATTTCTGTTTACCTGTCCCTCCGCTGACCTCTCTCTGTGGTGCGTTGACCTTGGTTTATTGCTTACCTTGTGTGAAACAAAATAAATCTGTTACCCCAAAGCACCGTTGCATGTTGTAATTTTTTCATTCTCACATGCCATCAAAAAACACGTCATCTCACCTTAATATAAAAAAAATCTTCGCTTCTTCCAGACCTTGAGTGGGAGAGGCCTTTGGAGGGATGAGTGGAGGATGAGGAGCCCTGAGTGAAGCCGCACTTCAGTAACCCGTCAAGGTTGCAACCTCCACTCTTTCTGTGGCTGCTTGTTCCCTCCTTTAACCTGTGCTGAGATGCCTTGCAGTGTTTGCTGCCGAGGCTGTTGTCATTGAGGACACTGCTGACGCTACCCATGGTCCTGTAGGCAAGCCCACGGGCGAGATGCAGCTAAAGTCTAAATGGTGAGGTTACACTGAAGTAAGGGAAAGGTACATCTCGTGACCCCACGGAGGTTCTGTCAGTGGCTTCATCTGTGAAACAAGAAAAGGATAAACATAAAGGATGCACAGTATCATTAAACAGAAGATTTTTGTTCCATGGAAAGGATACAGCCTTATTTTAGTTTACTCAACTCATAGTTTACTTTTGATGCGTATCACTGTTGTTTAATTGTTGTTCAGTCTATTGTGCAGTGTTGAAGCAGGTGTTTAAATTTGCAAAGCAAACAAAGTGAAAAAAAAGTGTCTATCTTGGCACTCTGCCTGGCTGTGTATGTTTAGATTTATGACTCAGCTGTTAAATTTGACAAATAACCCTTTGGGTGCCCTTCCTCTAAACAAACTGGCAATTAGACTACTTACTGCCTTCTCAACAATTGGCTGGGGCTGCCATCTGAATATCATTTTCTATTTGCTATTGTTTTGGAACATATTACAGATAGACCGGCAGAAATTATGAAATAAAGATTAAGTGCACAGAACCTGTGTGAATTTATGTAGTTAATATTTTTAATTACAGTCTACAAGGACATTTATTTGCACAGTCACACGTTATGAGTGTGACTGTGCAGTTGTCCTCATTTTCCTCGCCTTCTTTCAAAGATAACCAGACCCCAGATGTTGCTATCATGCTCTCTAACCCACAAGGGAAAAGTCCCCTCGGCAGCAGATAAAGGGCTCCTAGAACCACATGGTCCTGAGCTTTTAAGCATTTAATAATGGCCACAGCAACAAAGCCTGTGACTAACGACCTCCTATAAGTTATATATATCTAAGCTATTGCATTTGGCTTGAGTTTAATTCATAATTTATGGTTGCCCTCCAGTGTTTGTAAGGAAACTAACTCTCATTGTACTGTTTCTGAGATGCCTCATAGGGAGTGCTGATCAAGGCTGGGACTTTTTATTCAACCCTAAAACAAAAGTAAGGGAATTAATACATTTAAAAAAATGTTTTTAAAATCAACAAGACACCAACTGACACAGAGTGGCATTCATACAGAAGAATAAAAGTATATTGGGCTTTTAGCAGAAAAGAAATATTTTTTGATCAGTATAGATGAATACAAGAAAGGAAAGCACACCCAGAAATACACAAAGACCACTAATAATAAGAGACATCTTCAGCACTGCTTCAGTTTTGATTCTCAGTTTTGTTCAGGATAAAATTCTAAGTATATTCTACAAACTAAACATGTACTGAAAATGTTGAATAATGGCTAATGATGGTAAATTCGTACTCGCAAGAGTCTAAAGCGAGGCAGTCCTGTGCACCACTGTAGTAAAGAGTCTCTGACATGCCTGTGTCTGCTGCTGTTTTATTGTCCCTGAGTGACTGCTGCTAAATCTAAACTCTAGCCTTCACCATCACTCTCAGATATTAGCATCTACCGCTGACATGGGACTGATGTAATGAACAATAGATTTTACTTACTGCCAGGTCAAACTAAACATCCATCTCTAGCAAGGCCGCTGCAGAGTCATCTATCCAGTCACCGAAGAAAACAAAAAAGCAGACATGTGTACATCTCTGTGCGCGCGGGTGTGTGCATGTGTGTGTGTGTATGAACGAACAAGCAGCAAATGCAAACACTATCACCACGGCCAGGGTCTGCTAACTGTTTGTGAAGGGGGTGGATCTTCCTGCTTTTCTTTTCAGCCTGTAACCGGCTTTGCATCATAACTGACATGTAAATTCAAGTGTGTGTATGTGTGTTGTTGGACCTCCCACTCCTCTCAGGGGATCCAGTGTACAACATGTGCTCCATAGAACTGGCGTGTGCCGCTCAAGTGATTAACTCTCAGCCTTCACAAAAGATCTTTTACACTCCCCCCCTTCACAGTGCACCTCCCTCCACTCTGCACAATCACCCACAGACACCCCGTTTGTGCATCCACTAACTGTGTTATGCCCATTCATCCTTCCCTCTCTCCTTTTTTTCCATCAGTCCCTCCCTCATCCATCCGTCCCACTTGGTGCCCTGCACCCACCCTGAATAAACAACAGTTCATCTTAAGGAGAAAAAAAGGCGCTCACCCTCTGTCTTTTGGCTCTTTGTCTGTTGAAGTGTGCCTTCTTTGTGTGGACTCTTCTGTGCCAGTTGATGTATTCTCTCCAAACAGCCCAGGACCATATTTGACTGTTAAATAAATGACTAGTCCTCAAAATAAGAGCGCTGGAGAGCATCGGTTTTAGAGCGATTTACCACCATTCTGCCTTTATGCTGTTTGTTCAGGCATACACCCACAGACCCACTCTTTCACACACAACTTTGCGTGTCAACACAAATTGCACACACTCTCACAGTGTCATTGCTGGAGTCCAGCTCTCTCTAAGGCAGTAAAGCATTCAGCATCCCACAGAGCCCAGACTGTTGACAAAAACCCTTGTGGATGAAATACAATCAAGCCCGGCAACAGGAAAATATACTAGGCACTGTGATCCACATAACAAAAAACAACAACAAGGGAGAAGATATGGCCTTTCTCTGCAACTGACAAAACAAGTTTAAATCTTACAACCCATTTTTGTCACAAGTAAACATATACTTTGTGTTAATGTGAGGAAGCAGAGTGCTTTGCCATGCATCTAGACAGAACACAGCAGATTTACTGATACTGATAATGTGAAACAAAAATCAATGTGACAAAAATCACTTGTTTAAAATTGAACTAATAGCGTGCTGTGCAAAGAAGCAAAGCTCTATACTATGGGCTCTGGATGTGCAGACAGAATTGCAGAAAAGTGAGTCATATTGCATCATACTGTCTGAAACCTTTCACCATAAAGTGTTTTCACAGTCATTTTGCTCTTTATGTAATAATATACAATATTTCTGTTGATGTGCCATAATTTTTTTCAGCGAGGCTATTCACTCATGCTTTCAGCTGGCTGCCATTGTTCCTCAGTTAGTCGTGTTCAGACCCTGAAGCCTGCTTTCTGAACAATGATCCTGACATTTTACTTTTGTTACTACTGACATGGTACTCAGAACTGATCAATTTCACGTCTGTTTGACGCAAATATAGCAATTTGAAAATCTTTTCATTGCCCCTTCATTCGAAAAATTTAATAAGCAATATAAACAGTTGATTCCACAGCCTTTGAGGGGAAAGCGTGATTTAAGACCTCTGGTGTGTTGGGACTGGGGAGTGTGAGTGTGTGTGGATGCATGCAGATATCTAATCACATATCTGACTGCCTGCATGTTTTTCAGTGTCTGCACAAAAGAGTGTTGTGCACTCGCTTATTGTGTATGTCTCTGTGTGCAGGCAGGGGATGATGTGTGTGTGTGTGTGTGAGCGTGGGCGCTGTGTCATCTAACCCCAGCTGACCTGCTTGACACAAAGCCCTACCCCGCACAGGACCAGCTGACACTACACACCCCTATTCCCCACCCCCCACTCCTCCACCCGAAAACACACTCACACATACACACACACACACACACACACACTCACAGAGCATAGCCAATCCATTAGCCCAGCCAATGGCAGGCAGCAGTAAGTGTGTTATAAACATCCAGGATTTATACCTGTCTCACAATGACCATGAAACTCTCCTCTGTTCTCACTGTACCTCTACACTGCCACTGTGCCAGATGGCATCTTTTTAATTCTCACTCTTTTTATGGTAATTTCTAACAGATGCATGGCTAATCTCTCCGGTTCACTATATGTTTTTTTAGGTCATTCTTGGGCAGCTTATTTTTCTTTGTTCTCTTGTGCATTCAACATCATCAATCTCATTTGTTTTCCTTACATTTCAGAGGCCAGCGTACTTAAAGTAAATTTTAAGCTACTAGTTCTAACTACTGTTTTGCTTTGCGTAAGGCTAAAATTCATTTAAGTTTTTGTTGTTTGAGGCTTTTAATGTAAGTTAAGCTAACTTGAATTAACTTGAACATTTGAACAAAACAAGTATTATCTTACCTAAATTACAGGTGTTTTTTTTAAATGATTGAATTAAACATGAAGTGGTCAAAGGGTGAGATATTTTGATATTTGGTCATTTGTATGACTATCAATTCAAAAATACTTCCCAGAATGCAATGCTCATATCTTAAACCCCTCATCTGAACAAAGACTACAGTTTGAAATACAGCATTTCTATTCTATTCATGTTACATCACTACTTTTTTGGAGACATGTAAGGACACCATACAGAGTATCAAGAACAACAGAAGATTTATACAACAATTTACACAGAATATAAATTATTACTAAATAATGTACAAAATCTGCAGTTGTTGTTCTCTACCAGTAAAGATACCGATATTACGTATCGGTATAGGTCCGAAACTGACCTAAATTACTGGATCGGATATCGGAGAGAAATATGTAGTCCGATCTGAAGTATCACAAAATCACCTCACAAAACTCATAAAACTTGGCGTAACCCAGGTCGGCGCATCGGAGCAGTATGTGTCACGTGATAGAGCGGCTGTTGGCGGTCTGTTGGAGCATTTGGAGCCTCGCTACATGCTTCCTAACCGCAGCATTTCATCTCGGCGAAAACTATCCCAGATAAGTAAAGCAAGTGTGTAAGTTCATCCTTGAATGTTTGCATAGTATTTCCACGTTAAGCTTAACAACTGATATGTTGAGCCACAGCTGGACTGACCATCAGAGTTCCATATTGAGGTGAAAAGGAAGCGATTTGTCCCGTACTTCAGCTAGAATTAAAAAATAGACACAAAGCTGGAGTTATTCCGTCTTTGCTGCTCAGTTGCATCTACTTCTCTCATTCACTCCCCCTCCCTCTCCTGTTATTACTTCAAACATGAAACTGATCAATGATCAGCTGATCGGCTTTTCTGCCACAAGTCTCGTCTTTCTTGTTTGTTTATCGCCCACTTTGCGCTAGAAAGAGGACACCAGTGGATAAACAACAGCAGCGCGTTAAAGGGTGAAAAGCTGTTGTTAATATTTATTTAATATTACTTTCTAGTATCAGCTGATGTTTGCTGGTCATGATATCCGTTTGGATATGTGGTGAGAGGGAAACATGAAGATGAAACCAGGAGATGTCCTTACTGAATCATCAGAGCTGAGCAGGTGATGGAGAAACAGGTTTACCCTTTAGGTGACATGAATGAGTTGAAGGGAAGTTATGAGACAAATAACACCAGGATCCTTTTCTATGTAGCTGACGGCTGGTAACTGTGCAGGGGCGGGTCTAGCAAAGTTTTGCCAGGGTAGGGCATTAACAGGAAAAGGGGGGCACAAAGAAATATTTTTCTTTATTATGTCATTTAAAAACTTTGAATAAATAATTATCTGAATCTTACAACAAAAGTGGTCACCTGATTAAATGTATAGAAATCCATTATTGTATCAACTAATAAGTCTAATATACACCCTAGTAAGCTATAGTACTTTTTCCTTTGGGAAGGTACCATCTGTGCAGTCTGCAATTCTGTTGAAGCAAGATGTTGAATCTATTTAAATATTGTAGAAAAATAATTGATTTCTGTGCATTTGTTTTACACTTGCATTAAATTAAAGTTGATTACATCGATTAAGGGAAGGGGGTGGTTCCCTAATTTTTGCTGGGAGTTGGCAACCCTATTAGTTAGGTTGCTTAATATTTCCAGTACAGTACCAAAGTACTCTTTAAAATACCAGAATAGGGAGGATGGTGTTGGTTTAAATTTATTAAATTGATCAGTGTTGCTGAACTATAAAATGTTTTGGGTGGAGTGTATTTTTTGCATACAGGTATAGCAGAATAGCTTCAGTGTCTTGTTTTTTTAAAATTGAGTATGAACTTATACAAAATACAGCAAGATATTTATAAAAAGAAGTTTTATTGATTACAAAATACACTTTTCCTGATTCATATCGGTATCGGCAGACATCCAAATTTATGATATTGAAATCGGTATCGGACATTAAAAAGTGGTATCGTGCCATCTCTAGTAAAGTTATTATGCTCAAATTTGTATGCATATAATTTTTAATCTTAACTTTTGATTAAAAAAATGGAGATGCGTGCAAACGCATACTATTTTAGCAAAACCTCATTTGTTACACAGCATGCATGCCTGCTTATCAGTGTATATTAAACCAGACTGTGATTTTACAGTCAGTATATGTCACTGAGCTTACTGTAGGTTTCCCCATGAGGAGCTGTAAAATGATAAATGAATTATGCTAAAGGCATTAGTGTGTCCCAACTTTTTACCTGTAAAATGTGGATTGCACTTCCAGCCACGTCAGTCTAAATGAATCTTTATAGCCTACGGTTCGATCCTCTGAATGCAAAATGATGAATGCGCTGCTCACAGTGTGATGTAACGCATTAGATAACTGGAATCAATCTTTGGCTCACACTAAGTAAATAATGGTTCACAGACAATGAAATGGACATTCCTATTATCCCAACATGACAGTGAAAATTAAAATCACCAATTACGGTGCGAAGAGAAGAAGACACAGTTTACATATGACAGCTGAGTATTTCACAGAGACTAATCGGTGCATAGGTTGAATTATTGAAAAGTAATACTCTTTCTCTGTCATTCTCTGAAGGCTGTCAAGGCCTCAGTCTCTCGTCTCTCTCTCTCTCTCTCTCTCACACACACACACACGCACTTTCTCTATCTTGTGTCTTTCTCACAAGACTGAGTTGTGGGGATGAGTAATGTGGCCTCCAGCAGAACATCAACTGGGAATGAAGTGTGGAACAGAGAC